GCCAGGGTAACGGCGGGGCAGGGGGTGCTAAGAATCCCCGGTTAGGATACGGCTACCACACACGACGACCTTTGGCCCTGGCAACACTGAACACGCGCACACTGCGGACGGACGAGAGGATCGCGGAGCTGGAAGAAGAATTGAGCAGGTTGCGTTGGGACATTATAGGGTTATCCGAAGTCCGAAGAGAGGGGGAGGAAACGATAATCCTCAAGTCCGGCAACTTGTTCTTCTTCCGGGAGGGCGACCAACAGTCGCAGGGTGGTGTCGGGTTTATCGTCCACAAGTCCCTCGTGAACAATGTGGTGAAGATCGAGAGTGTGTCGACGAGGGTTGCGTACCTGATACTCAGAATATCCAAACGGTATTCGCTGAAGGTTATACAGGTCTACGCACCGACCTCGACACACTCCGACGATGAGGTGGAAACTATGTATGAGGATATCTCACGAGCCATGCATAGTTCCAAAACCTTCTACACCATTGTCATGAGAGACTTCAACGCGAAAATAGGCAAACGGGACGGAGGCGAGCTGCGAGTGGGTAATTTTGGATATGGACAGCGCAACCACCGGGGCCACTTACTGGCCAGCTTCATGGAGAAGGAGGGGCTCTATATGATGAACTCCTTCTTCAGAAAGCAAGAGCAACGGAAGTGGACCTGGATAAGCCCAGACGGTGTCACCAAAAACGAGATAGACTTTATCATGTCGACGAGAAAGCAAATATTCAATGATGTCTCAGTGATCAATGCCGTGAAACCCGGGAGCGATCACCGAATTGTCCGAGGCACATTGAATATTGACGTAAAGCTTGAACGCAGTCGACTGATAAAGTCCACGCTCCGGCCAGCACCCGTCCATATTCAGGACACCGAAAATTTTCAGCTCAAACTCCAGAACCGGTTTGATTGCCTAGGAAGTAGCGTGGACGATATAAATGACGGGTTCGTGCAAGCCATTCGGACGGTGGGTGGTAAGTTCTTCAAGACCCCCCGTAGAAGCTCGTCCAGGAAACTCTCGGACCATACTCTTGAGCTCATGAAGGAAAGGCGTGACCTGACCCTGCACACTCCAGAAGATGTGAAGCAGTATCGGCTGCTAAATAGACGGATCTCGAAGAGCATTAAGCGCGATATACGCCAGTTTAACACAAACCGTGTTAAAATGGCTATTGAGCGGAACAAGGGCTCCAAAGTGTTTGCCCGAGATCTGTCTATTGGGCAAAGCCAACTGTCGAAACTGAAGACTGAAGAAGGCAGGGTTGTGTCCGCTAGACCTGAGATCTTGAGTGAGGTTGAGAGATTCTATGGGCAGCTCTACGCTACGCAGAAACCCGTCACAGATCTGGCGGAAGACCCTAGAGCCAGATTAATCCGACACTATACCGAAGACATCCCGGACGTCAGTCTAGACGAGATTAGTGTGGCCCTGAAACAACTTCAGAACAACAAGGCGCCGGGGGATGACGGAATCACAGCAGAGCTATTAAGGGCGGCCGGAGATCCGGCACTG